CTGCAGGGAAACAACGGATTCCCCCCAGTCATGAAGGAAGTTGACAGAAATGGTTCACTTCGTTACAGCGACAGCGTCATAGATATGTACTGTTCAGTAAAAGATAAGATAAGAAGATAAAGTCCTCAGAACGCATACCACGGCATCGAGACGAGTCTATCAGCACATAGTCATCATTCGGTTCAATAGACCTTGCAAAAGGGTTTGGAAATGTCCATTGGAATCTGTGCCACTGCACTCTTCTTCCTATAAGGAAATATTGTGCCTCAGAATTAATTAAATTTCACAGTCATTACGTAAAGTTTTTTATGTTGACTATATATTGATCTATACAATTGCACGCAGTTCTATATATTCCTTGAAAGCTTTTTTACTTGTAGTTTTCCGAAATTGTAGCATGCATGGCTTTTTGTCTAACTCTGCGGTACGTCGAGACTATTGCTAATAAAAACTGCTTTGAAATGCGCAGTTCATCAAAGACTTTCAGATGGCAAAGCATCTGAGGTCTGCAATGATGTACAAGGCATCAGTAGCGTGCCCAGAAAATCCTAATGGGAGGGGGGGGGGGTTGACCCATGAAAAATTGGTATACAATATGTGGATATATGCATATATGGCAAACATTTTTTAAATTTAGAATCGAACCTGTAAAATGTATCCCCTCGCCCCCCTTGAGCACGCCACTGCAAGGCATAGTATTGCTGGATGAGAAATTTCAGCAAGATTCAACATTTACCAGCATGCACTCCATCATTTCCAGTTAGATTTCATGCCAGAATCTTCCCATTAGATATTCAGGATATTCCTGCTAGAAATTTCCAGCTGGATTGAGTTGAATTTCCAGAGGGATATTTTCTCGCTTGAGAAATCCATGATAGTCTGCATCGAACCACTCATACAGCATGAAAAAATTTCCTCGGAGTATCTATTCCAAGCGTCGTCCCATGGTATCCCATAGTTTTAATATGAAAAATTGAGTGTCAGGAAACCAAATAAGGAAAGTATGGGGGGGGGGGAAAAAGATAGAAGAGAGAAGAAAACCTGGCGCAAAGGCCGGATTAGCTTTCATTCTGGCACCAATTGTCTCAGAATATTTGGTGCAAAAAGGCCTAGGAAAATAACTTGTGGTTTTGACCTAATTAAATTGGCAGCTTAAATTGAAAAAAAATCCATGTACAGCTGCCAATTACCGAATTAACCTCTCAATTCATCATAGTTTCCATTATTTTTTAAATATGCATCCGCACATCAATCCATCTAAAAGTGCGAAACCAATCTTCCGTTGTCGTCAAGACGCGGAGCAGGAATAAAATCAAAGCTCATGGAATAATTGGTTCATTTAATAATCACCTTACAACTGCAGATTCCACTCTCAAGAGCTGCAGCCTCATCTCAAGATGCGACTGCTCTTATACACGTCGATGCCTACATCTCGTAACATCTGCCTCTGCTTTACCTTCTGGAATTAAAGTGAAGGCGATACTCCTAAAGAAAACCCTTTGTCTTTCACGAACAATTCCGGCTACTCTTTCTCATTAACTCCTCAGTTGCCTAACCGAGTCGATTTTTATATTTTAACTCTGGCTTTCGATGGTGCATACCAGACAAGGCCTTCCACGAGTGGATTGTACGCCGAAGTCGAATATGCGTAGCCCTGATGAGTCCCATCCCCTTCTTTTCTGGGAAACAATGGGTTAGGGATTAGCTCCATCTCTGTCAAGGCTGAAAGTTCTCCCGTTCACTTATCCTTATCCTTGTTCTTGTTCGAGTCGAGCTGTATTATTAATCTTCTATACCTTGAAGAGGTCTGGCTGAAGTACTTCCAGGAAAGGGCAGGTGAGATAGGCCTAGCGTGAGGCCACAGGATTAAGAGTAGTTGAGGGAATTTGGAATGACTGTGTTGACCGGCTCCTACTTTTTTGGATTGACTAACTGGGATTGAAGCCTGTTATGGTTACAGGTGTTCAGTTTGAAAAACTTGTGGTAGGAGACCCGGCTGACTCGGAGCCAGGATATATCGCCCTCGCAGTCACCTGACCTGCGTGCAATAACCCATAGCCCCATGAGAGGCTTTCGTTGGGCCTAGGCCTAGTCCATCATATAGGCAGGGCATAAGCTGGTGACAGAATCGGTTATATCTATTTCGACATTGGCTATGATACTAGGGAAGTCAGGTAAACTGTTAACAGGTGAACCTGTCACACATGATAAGCCCTCTAACTTTTTAGCCTGACTTGTTACATTTGTGATATGACAGGTATACGTTGGGCGAGGCTTATTATGCATAATAATTCTGAAAGATTTGAAAGTCTCGAAATTAATTTAACTTTAATGCAATGGATATCGAGGTGCGACTCATTTTAGTTAGGACACTTGCATGTGCTAAATTGTCTGAGTTTACTTTTTAAGGTGATCCGAGAAAGAGGTGAATGGAAAAAATTGAAATTATGAATGTGAAAATTTTCATGACCCCTTTCTGATTCATGGCAATCTGTAGATGGTGGGTTCTTATACCAGAAACTGTTGGTGATATGAAAATTAGAGGACAATGATGTATGGCCCTGGGATTGGCATAGTTGTCTCGATGATTGGATCTTGCTTCAGATCTAGAACCTCCCTTAAAAAGATGTCATGCTTTGTTGTCGTGTCAAACATGTTAGAACTATGGCCACAAAGGACTATGGATACAGTAACTCATCAGTTTCCGAGCTCTACTTTCTACCCTCCCTCCCCTCCCTTGAGAACATATCACTTCATTGAATCCCACCTCTTTGATGAAGAAGCAGATGGGTAGCTTGAAAGCACTCTATCTACTTCATTGCTCCATTACTTGTTTCACGTTCTCTTTTACCTACGTCATTGTTTGATTCCTTGAATAACAATTTTACTCCTGCATCTTTGTATCCCCTTAGGAGCATTATTCACAGTTTGAAAGCAACTGCCTAAGCCAACTAAATGTAATCAGGAATCCTTCATGTAATTTGTTAGCCATTTGTTTTAGATCGTGTGATGGTACCAACTTGCTTTTCCCTAGGCTTTCTTGCTAAGTTAAGAGTCATAGCATTTATCATTTGCTTCTGGCTTTGTCAGAACTTCTGAAGGGAGGACAGTGAGTAAATAATATCCACACTGTCACTGTTTTCAGATGATGCATGAAAGCCACACCTTGCAAAGGGATATAGTTACTATAAACTTCATACTGCATTTTAGACGAAACTGCATTAAACTGGAACTGAATCTTTGATGTTTTACTTGAGAAATGGAATGAGCATTCTTCCTGCCAGGATGGAATTGTGCCTCAGTGATCACTTCTTATTGCACCACGGGTATTGCCCCGTTTGTTGTGAAAATATAAATTTACAGGCATGTAGTCAAGATATAGATATAGAGTACATTTTTTGGCAAAGTTTGTGCAAATTGAAACTTCATAGCTAATTTCATGTTTAATCCTATAACTATTGTTCCTGGTCCAATGGGGCCTGATGCAAAAATTTAGCCACCAGTGTAGACTGTGCTGTGAACTTGAAGAGTCCAACACTCTGTATTTTCATGAAGACGTGATAGTAATTAGGCAACATATTTTGAAGAGATCCTTTGAGAATTAGGAGATGAAACAGAGTTAAACTCATAACCATCTGGGTTCTGGTAATACAAGGTTAAAATATGGAAGCAAGAGGTTGGTAGCATTGTCCCCTTGGATCCTTACCAAATGCACAGTAAGAGTTTCAAGGTGAATCTTTTGTGTTCTAGCAGTTCCCTTCCAGGCTTTATAGCTGAACAATCATTTTTTGACTAGAGGAGAATGAAACTGCACTTGACATTGGGGGTCAAGGTTGCTAGCTAAATCTTGAAGGGCCATATCTGGCAACACTACACATAATCCTCCCTTGCCTTGTCCTGGCTGCTAGGTACCCTTATTGCTATATCCATTTCTCACATTTCAGCCTTCAGTTGTGGTAACCTATACTTTTACAAAATCCCGATTTTAATTTAAATAATAATATAAACAAGGGAGTTTGGGTTAAGGCAGTCCAAAATACTAGGTTGAGGAAAAAGTTCGTGCGCCGTATTAAAATAATGATTTTTAATACTTTTTGTGTTTTTGATCTGGTTTTGTGGCTATTATGAAATTTTATTGATTTTTTAAGATGTCTGATTATGAAATCACAAATTTTGAGCTTCGCGTATTGCTACATCATTATTCGAGAAAGAATTTGGATGCAAGAGCAGCTGCCAAAGCAATTTGCGACGTTGAAGGTGAAGGTACGGTGGCACAGCGAACTGCACAGAAATGGTTCAAGCGTTTCAATGAAGGCGATTTGGATCTTGAAGACAGGCCACGTTCCGGACGACCAACGATTCTGGACAAAGGAGACTTGCAAGCCGCTTTGGATGTTGAGCCATCATCAAGCACACACGAATTGGCTGAAGAACTTGGTGTCGATCAGAAGACAGTTTGGAATCATCTCAAGCAACTCGACTTCGTCCACAAAAAGCCACGACAAGATCCACACGAGTTGACCGAAGCGCAAGCCACCAAACGAGTCTAAATTTGCCGCCAATTGCTCAACAATCCGTTGGATNGCAGCAATACGCGAAGCTCAAAATTTGTGATTTCGTAATCAGACATCTTAAAAAATCAATAAAATTTCATAATAGCCACGAAACCAGATCAAAAACACAAAAAATATAAAAAATCATTATTTTAATATGGCGCACGAACTTTTTCCTCAACCTAGTATATATATAAGTGTGCTATTGAAAAGAGTTATGATGGTCAAGGTTCAGAGTGCAGTTGTATGTCATTCAGCATGGCTTACTGGTAAGAGTTCCTCTCTAATTAATAATGTATATTGTTGGATTGGATTTGTCCAGCCTGTTTATTTCACATGTTTATGATTCCAACTCCCCATTGGTCTACTGGTGTTAGGGAGAAATAAACATTCATTCTGAAATTAATTATGACATCAGTTAAACTTTTACTTTTTCTTTCTCTTTTACAGGTTTTTTCCAGGCTGCCGTTTCATGTAACATTTGGCCTATCATAGGCCTTGGGCTGTGGCCTACCTGAAATGGGACATGTTTACCTCTAGAGGGCAACTGATAAAAGAAGTCATGTGAAGGTGCTCTTCCCAATTTAACATTAAATGAAGCCTAGAAATAGGTTTTATTCTTATTTTTGGAATTACTGTGGTGTGTTTTTAGGGCTGACCACTTTCTTCTTCCTCCAAAGAGAGCCCCAGGTAAGCATATAATTGGCTCAGATTTGATTTTAGTAGTCTTGTAATGAGCCTTACTAGGCAAGGCTTATTGTATGATGGAGACTCATCAAGTCTATGGTAAACTTTAGTCCATTGTATCTGTTCAATTCAGTGGAAACTCAATAAATGCACTAAGGAGCATGCCATACCTCCACATGCATTGGTCAGAACTACGATGAGAACTCACATTCCATCCTACATTTGAATGGATTCAAGGAATCTCATCTCTTATACTCAAGAAGTGAATATCTGTCAAAGATCAGAGGTCCTAAAGAGACAGTTTTGGAAGTCATAGGGTGGTATTCACAAACAAGCATTAATTTAATTGGGAATTAGTGTAATTGGGTATTAATAAATGCTGAAGCTTACCATTATCCTCATTTGGTATTCATAAACTTTGAAGTTCAATTCAAAGATGAACCTGTTGATTCAAAGAGGAGCCTGTTGCGGCCATCTGGCATCCTTTATTGAGATGACTTCTATCATTGCGTATGAATGAGTCATCCCACAGTGACTTGAAAGTGACTTGAACTGACTGAAAGCTACACACTATTGCTGAAGGTAGCAGGAGGCAACAGCTAACTAGTTTTTCTGCTAATGAAAAGACTTCTGCTTGAGGTTATTCAGGACAAGAACCAACAAAGTTGAAGGAGAAGAACCAGGCATGGCAGGACATTTTTGAGGCCTTCAACACTGATGGAAAAGTCACCTGCAGAAGTGAGAAAGTTCTGAAGGTTGCCCTCATGAACATGACTGAAAATGACAAAAAAGAAGGGCTTAGTCTGGTGGACACCTGCCTGTACATGTGGACACTATGTGAGGTACCTTGACTGGGGCAGGTGGACCATGGGTACTCTAGCCAGTGGCAAATAATTTATTTTCTCAGCTCTTATTCTGTCAGCAGTTGTTTATACATGCATTAACTACACCATATTGAGCCTCTGCAACAAGTAGGATCCCTTCTGAGCAGTTGAACATGTCATCCAATTGAGGGACATCTGTTGTCTCGATGAAACTACTACTAGCTAAATAAGTGACCAGCAGTACTGTTGTCCTTTCTCAGGCATGAACCTTAAAGAACAATAATTAGCTTAAAAGTATAGTTCATCTATGTGAACGTGCTCCCATGGCCAATAAATCAATAGAGGTCATCCATTCTCATCCAAGTTAGCAAAAAAAGTTGCGGTTCAGCCATGGAACTGTCTTGCCTTGTCATCCATCCTCAAATGTCATAAGACTTAGCCTGCTGATCCACCCCCTTCCAGGAGCACTGCAACACTCACCATTGTCATTCCATCCATAATGGAGGAATTCCATCATGTCCATGTAACCGATTTGGTGCAAAGCAGGTGTCCACCAGGCCAATTAAGCTCAAAAAGAGCTGGATAAAAATGGGATGGTTCCATGAGTTTATTAAACGTGTTTAATAAACTGTCTGAATGTAAAACTTTTTTATTTTCTTGAAAGCATATGAAAACAAGGCAGTCCATTTTTGATAGAACAGCAGTGATCATTGATGCCTTGAGAGCATGACAGCTCTTTCCTTTTGTTATTATTTAGTTGTCATGCGTGCAAAATGCCTGGCAACTAGTGCTTGTCTTGTTGCAGTACCAGAAGTATATTCATTCGTGCTGCCTTGGTTATCCACCTCAATCAAGGTCTGAACCTAAATCAGGATCACCCTACATCAGGGGATGAAAATGAAGATCAAGTCTTCACCTAAATGCCACAAAGTCTTATAAAAAATTTAAAAACATCTATCAGAAAACTCACCAGGATTTAGAGAAATGTGAAGAATCACACAAGCAGCAACAATCCCACCCACTTTCTTTGGTTTGTAATGCATATGACTCATCAAACATGGGAATTGTTTCTTGATGATGCCAAAGGTTCTTTTGACAATGCATTAAAAGGTTGGGGAGACATGTATAGCCTTTATCACCCAGAAGCCTACCTTTGCCTTTGAGGTCGCCATGTTCCAGTCGAGCCTTGAGCCTTGAATTTTGAAAGATCCTGCTGTCTTGCATTGACCCTGGCCAACGAGCCATAACACTAGACCTTGTGGTCATGACCTATGCCAACTTGAAAATTGACAGCAAGGCTTTATTTGCGATTCCTGTACATTTCTGGCTGTGGAAAATGTGTAGGTCTCGAAGGCCTTTAGTTAGCAGTCCTTTAAAAATACATGGACTTTTATAACTTCTGGGGGAAAAAGAGCTCTTTAGTTTAAAAAAACCCTCCTTATCCCCCCTAAATGAGGTTTGTGCATTCATGCCTTAATCTCTACATGGTTGCCATCTATTGTTCCATTCACCCCTGGGAAGTCTGCAATTGTTTTAAACTTGAACTTCACCTCCTTTAAATTGTCTGGAAATTTGACAATTTCTTGGCAGAGAAACAGAATGACCCTGAGAAAGCGGTTCATGGTCCTTAACACCATTGCCTGTGACACATGTATGAGGTCTCCTGTAATAATATGGAAAGATCCTCCTGCCAATAGGCGCAAATAACAAAGCACTTGCAACAGTCGAGCCAGTGCTGACCCATTGCAGGTATTGAATTCCATAATGGACACTATTTTTACTGTCAGATCCAGGACAGTAGCCTTACACAGCCACAGCCCACAGCCATAGATGAAACCTTTGCTGGAAGTTTGCCTCATTATAGAGTGAAGGGATCCTTGCCTGTCATGAGGTAGGGCATGTGAGATTCTCCAAAAATTCACTTTGACAATATCCTCAATTTCTTCCACTTCTGAGAAAAAAGGTGCCACCATGCTGAAAACTGCACCTCTCTCACACGTCCTAATGTGGACTGGCGAATTTAAAGTTGATGATATCCAACTTTAAGCTCATAATTAAAATTTTATTCTGCTAATGCCCAACTTCTGGTAATGTTTGTCTGTGAAAGCAATGGCCATTAAATTTTCAGTTTTAAAGCCGATCTAGGCGTTTTAATTCCCAATTAGTGCTAATATTGGTTTGTGAATACCACCCATTGTATCTTCTCTTTCTATCTTTGTTTGAACCTCTTTTTGTTTTTTTCTTATGCAATGAGTGCATTTGCAAAAAGAAAACCCCCCAAAGCATCTGACTTGACATATGATGCTGACTGACCTCCCAATGGCTACTGAGTGGATGGAGGAGATAGGATGTATGTAGGTGTGCATGGGGTGTGTTTGTGTAAGTGTGTATATGAGGTAAATGAATATAAGACCCGGGAGGGGGAGACATGCCCTTATTCTTTTCACTGCTTTTCACTGAGTTTTTGTAGCTGTGTAACATGATGAGTACACTCATTAGCTGCAGCAAAAGGGTTAAAGGGATGTGCTGAGCAAATTTTTGCCATATCAGACAATTGCCTTTTTCCACTGGTAGCCTATTTACTGTCAGTGTATGATATGAAATGTGTTATAAGTTGTGTTGCTGGTGTGAAAAAGTATATTTTTGTCATCAGTGTATTAAGGATCATCTATTGGTCATCAAATCAGCCTATGTTGACTGATACAAACAGATATGAACATTCATGTATTTTACTGTTACTGATTACTAATTTTTTTTTATTCATGTAAGTATACCCATACAGTAGGTAAATGCCTGGAGGTTCACGAAATGAAACAACAGATTTTTAACTGTTGAGAATAATTTGTTTAATTTTTTGTTCCCATTGATTTAAGCTACTGCCAAGTTATACCAGGTTGGTATAGAGTCAGCAGCTGTTGTTACCTCAGTGGTTTGGACATATATCTTCAATATCCAGATTGTGCCAGTTACTGCAATGGAGAGCCATGGCTGAAGTCAGTGCGAATTTTTCCAAGCTCCCTGAAGATGTTCGGGAGCGATTGGCAGAACTGGATTTGGAACTGTCAGAGGGTGAGGAAACTGCTAAGATATAAGGAAGTGATTAAGTCCTTGTCATTGTACAGAGTGTCACTGTGACACATAGTTGAATGGAATGAAATTAAGTATTGCCTGTGATGAAATGAATGATGAAATATTTTCTTTACTCCTGCTTAATGATTCTGAATATAATGAATATTGCATAAAATTTAACCCTTTGAGTGGAACATATGTATATACATTCATTTAAAGATTTTGAGCTCACAGGGTGTGCACATATATGTCAAACCCTAGTGATATACTTAACCAAAATAATTGACTTGTCAAGGCAAATATTCAAGTAAGTGAATTTTTGATCTAAAATCCATTTGTCCTAACTTAAAAAGAGTGAAGTAATGTTTTTCATAATTTCATTTCCCCCCATCTTTGCTTTTTAATTCACTTCTCAAAGGGTTAAGGCAGCTTTGTAGTCTGTTTAACTGTGTGTTGCTGCTGCTTCTACCTGTTCAATACTGCCAGTGGTGTATTTGAACATATTAATACACATTACACAGGAAAAGGGCTTAGTATAATTAGGGATTGTAGAGGTTAATTTCTGTTCCTGTGCTCTTTCCATTGCTCTGCTCATACATTAATGTAGTATGATATTGAGAACAAGATTTGAAAAGTAGAACAGCTGATGCCTTTTGAGTACTCAAAATGCCAACTAGACTTAATTATATCTGTACTTGCATGTATTCTGACAGCAATTTGTGTAATTCATGTTCCAAAGGTGATATCACACCCAAAGGCTATGAGAAGAAGAAGTCAAAGCTCCTGGCTCCATACCTTCCCCAGAGACAACCACCAGGTTAGTGTCTATGATCATGATTCTCCTCTCAATTAGGAAGGATTGAAACTACCAATAACTTTTGTATTAAAGTAGTAGTTGAGAGTTGAGACAGACTAATTGCATGAGCCTTGTGCATCCTTGAAAGATTATAATTGAAATATTTTGGAAGTTAGTTTGACCAGTTGTAAATTAGGTCTTTCATTTGGTCTTTTTTTTTATGTCTTTGTCTCTGGTAATTGCCATCCATACAGCCCAGGCTCCTTTTATCTAAGGCAGAGATAAGTCTATTTCATAGACAAAGTGGAAAACTGAAATTTAACTTTAAAAAAAATTGTGGAATAGTTCAAGTTGTCTGTTAACAGCCAGAATTTGTAATCACAGTTTTGTTTTCATGAACTGTTAGAAGTTGTTCTAAGCTCAGTATACTGCTGACCCAGCAACTGCAAAGTTTGACAGAAGAGCATTTGAAGATATCAGCGGCTCTCTGCCAACATTTTAACATGTCAAAGTGAATTTATATATAATTTATTTAAAAAATCATGAGTGTTTTTCAACATTGACTTGAAAAATAGCAGAAACTTTCATCTGATTGAATGTCCTGATCCAGAGAACAGAAGGTTGCAAGGAAGAAGCAGAAAATGAATTGTTCTGATTATGACCTTGGCTGTTTTTCATTGAATGACTCTTTGTTTTTCAAGAAAAGGACTGGTGTTATGGGTATTACAAGGCTGTATGGATAGTCCATTTATATAGATAGTCCATTTATGTATTCTGATGTCTGCTGTATCTCCTCTCTTTTATTCGAGTCTCGGACTAGCTTAACCCATTGTGGTCCTGTGTCAAGTATACAATTCAGATAATGGATAGAAGAAATTCATCCACAAAGGGTTAATGACCTTGGGGTGACACTGGCATAAAACCTTCCTCTGCAACACTAGTTCCTTTAAATTTTTCTTATCCATTTCAAAATTCTACACTATTGACCTGGTATGTAGTTGCAATGTCCTAAATTACCAGATGAACATTGAATTACCATGCATGAATGATGTTGAATTTACTTTTATTTTCATCAAAGGAGCATTGAGAAGCAATGGGACAAGGTTTTCCTTCATTAATCCTTCAAGCTGATAATTTAAAAAGGTAGAACATTCCCTGCTGTGGTAATATTGAGCATCACAGTGGCATAGAATGTGCTGGAAAGGTTAACCCTCCTGTTTTGCCTATTGATTTGGGTATACGGCATAAGGAAATGAAAGCTAGCATGTGTTGCTTGCTTGTCTGCTTTCCACTTATACTTATTGGAGTCCTCAAGTAGTGGCAGTAAGAAGTCAAAAAAGAATATTGCTATGTTTGGAGTCTTGCCAATAGGAACAGTATTATACAGGATGGCACAAAAGTTCCTTGACCCCTAAAAATAATAGGCTAGTTAATTAATTGCTGCTCTCAGGGTACAAAGGTCTCTTTATAATGTGTTATTTTTCATACATATTTTTAAATATCTCGACTGTAGTGAGAATGGCAGAGAGATTCTTCATGCTACAGCAATGTATTCTTTTCATAGAGGAATGAAAGGCTGAAGTCTGGAAAATGATCTCAAGTGGTCTGTGACTGCTTTGGCTGAGCATTTTCAGAAACTAGTTTACCAAGACTTCAGCCATTCCTCTACAATAAGAATACGTTGCTGCAATGTGAAGCATCACTGCTATTCTCACAGTCATTGATATTTTTCACATTAACATATTACTTACTGCTAAATAATTGCCCAAATGTGATATATAAAAAGAAAATATGAGAAAAGATGTCATGCTTTGTATGAAAAATTTTGAGCACTGGAGAAATAGTAGGCAAGTGGGCTTTTCTTTACTGCCCCACTGGCATTTCTGCAACTGTCCTTATGCAATGCATACTGAATTGAAGAAAGTATGGATTTCCTTGATCATGGCATAGAATTTTGAGCTCTCAAAGAAAAAAGAAATGTCTTGATCCATTTGAAGATCCAGAAGATTGGGTGAGCATTCAGTTGTTTTTTGTGATGTATATTCATTGTGCAGATCATGATCCAAGAACAGCTAGAACATATCAGTATAGGCTAAAATCACTGGAATTGCTCAGGCCACACTGAAAATTCTTGTCATATTTAATAAAATCATCCATAAGAAAGTGTCACTGCCTGTGAAAGAAGGTCACCTCTCAAATATCAACATATAAAAAATATCAAAATATTTGACAAATGTGGCCATACATATTCATATCGCTTTACATATTCCTGAAGTGTGCTATGTGACATATTAATGTAACCAATGTAGTAATGTAGAAACCAGACATGGACACCTATCCATGTCTGGTTTCTTGGCAAGTGCCAGGATTCCATCTAGTATACATGGATGAGTGTGCAATGAAGCAGAATGTGACCTTCATTATAAGTCTACCCTCCGTGTATATAGTGTGCCAACTGTTTTGTTGTTTGGACGGCTTGAAGGAAGTTGTGTTTAGCAGTGCACCTTATGGTGGATTTACTCATGCTATGAGTCAAGGAAATCTAAAGCATCTGCTAGGAGCTCATATGATCATTTTAATTTCTAAACTTCCATAGCATGATATTGATATCCAATGTCCTAGTATAGCTAGTCATAATGTGGGTATCTGATACTGTAATGATGATTCACATCATAAGCAAGCTATGAAATGGTCTATAAAATGGTGTACCCTGGACAATAGATCAAGGCTTCAGCTTTGGGCAGGTGTTTTTTCCAAGTATGCAAGATTTGCTCATAGCTTCAGTGCCAAAATATTGCATGCATTAAAATTAATGATTGTTGACATGATGATTACTTTTGTAGATAGGCCATGACCCTTCAATATGCAATTATGACAGCATGGAGTGAAGAGCATGCCCATCTTACCTCCTTTTCCAGCACCATGTGAGACATCGGCTAGTCCCAGTACTAAGGCAAAAAGACGAGCTCATCGCAGGCTGACCAGAAATGAGAGCCGATATCATTCTGGTATGAGATTTTCTGTTCTTATGATCTTATCCTTTCTTTGAGGGTTAAATGGACTAACTTTCATGAACAGTATGTCTCTTTAAAAAAAAATCCTAATAAATATCTCATCAGTCCCATGCCCGATTAAAGGACTGTCACCTTAAGGCCTCCACACCCTGGAGGTGGTGCAGCATGATGTGGCACAGAATACATTTTCCTCTTATTTAATTCTCTAGGAAACCTTGTGAAGCCAGAAGTAGCACAATGTTGCCCAGCACAGTGCAGCCTAATGAAAACATCTCTGCACTCATTTTTGCTGCATGCTGCAAATGTCACCACAGCTCCAGCTAGCATTTGCTTCTATATATAGCCTGTAGGCATTGTTTTGTACCTTAGCATGAAAGCTAACCAGACTACATGAGGCTATGAGGCTGCTGATGCTCTTGTTATCTTAAGTTCCCCAATTGAGACAGACAGAGGCATGATTCCTGTAATTTCCCTTGCTATAGGTAGACATAATTAGAATGTATTTTTTTAAGATCATGCAATTCTTGTACAAGGTATGCACAATGTTAATTAAATGGTTCTGTTGCTTAACTCTTTCCACTCGTTTGTCGAGCTTGGCTCGCCATTGGTTGCAGCATTGCAAAAAAAAAAAAACAGTGGAAAGGGTTAACTGATGAATAAATTACTTTCCAGAACTGTGACAGGATACTAGGAGTTCAAACCTTCTTTCCATGTATCATGGAACTCTTTAGCATTGCAATTGTTAGGAGTGCAGCATCTTGTGATGAATATAGCACTGTGCTGGATCCTGTGTGTGGAAGTCCTTAACCCTTTCAATGCTGAGTTTTTGTAGCTCTATTGGGTAACCTGGTGAGTATACTCTTCCATAGCACAGAAAGGGTTAAGCTCTGGTTGATCTACATCTGGAATTTGGAATCTCATTCTATATTCATATCATTCAAGAAAGTACAAGGAGCAGAGTTTTTTGGGCACAGTCTCCTATTTTCTTTTATCATCTGTTGAAATGTGGGAATTTCACCCCCTCTGGGAGCATAGGCTACAGATAAAAGAATTAATGTTGGTGTTTATATTGCCAAAGTTATAAATCCAGTCTATTTTGTGGCATTCCATTCATAATCTGGGCACCGTTACTCAAGGTTAATTAAAAGGTTATATTATAGCTCAAAAAATAGGCAATCCAAGAACAAGGATTAAAACAGATCTTGATGGAGCATTAAGGAATTCCACTCTGTAAGAAGATATTGGGAAGATCATCCCCCTACACATTTCATATGAAAATAAGTTGCATTGGGCCTGTATAACTTTTCATTTTTAGATATCCGCCAAGAGGCAGTCCAACAAGCATTGTCTGCAATGCAGGGCAAACCCAAACCATCTGTGCCTATGCCATCCAAGAGAACGTCTGTAATGGCCCGCTCTCCTGATGCAGAAGCTCAGCATGATTCTTGTATGTTCAGGATTATTGCATTTTGAAGCAACCATGGCAATGGGCATCATTTACTATTTGATTTTGATGTCTCTCTTTTATTTCCAGTGTCAAGTTCTGATGAGAGCAGCAGTGTCATCAATGAGGGAGATACTGCCAACAACACACCAGAACATGAACGTCTCTCTCAAACTTCTCTCCCCGTTTCAAACTCTGAGGAGAGGGGGAATCCAGAATTTATTCTGGATCCAAATCCACACAAGTCAGTTTCATATTTATTGGTGACAAAGTGCTAAAATCAATGCTGAGGTAAAGGCAAGATAGTTTTTATTATTATTCTGAAAGAGAATTCTGGTACCAAACTGATACAAGTTGAAAGTTTACTACTACAATACATCAACTGTAGATGTAGAGATTGCAACAAAGCTTCAATCAATGAGCTGAGTTTATATGCTTTTCCATAGCCCATATCATGAAGCAGTAACTAGAAATTGTACCAAAACTCTGGAATAATGATTTTCAAGAAAATATCCATTAAAAATTGTTTTTTGTTTTTGTTTTTTCTCAAACTAGATTATACAGGGTGGCTAAAAAAAAAAAAGGTAACCCAAACATCTAAAAATAAATCACTTGGTTTATTATGGATTTTAAGCTGTTCCTTGTTTTATATTTACTGAACTGTGTTTCATACATGGGACCATTGTTTTTAATCATTCTAGAGCTTTAAATAGACAGATTCAATGGCTGATGGCATTTTGACCATGTCTGCCATTTTGCTGTAAACACAGCTCCTTCCCTTGCAAGGGAATGTTTATGAAGCCAGCTGTGCAAAACCGTAACAACAGCCCAATTGATTGGCCCACCATTTCCATCTTCATCATAACTTTTGAAATAATGTTCACCAAGTCAAATCCTTTCTTTCACTGTTCACTGGGACATATGTATTCTAGATTACCTGTAACAAACAAAATACATATGATATTACATTTTGGTTACCTTTTTTTCTCAACCACCTTGTAGTAAGATTAAGCATAACTCAAGAATGCATAGCCTTATTTGTGATCTTGATTCAAGACTTTTCCCATGTAAATACAACTGTACCATCTTCACTCAAGGACATTTGATAAAATATGTGCTGAAGTGTTGTCTGATTGTTGCATTTTTGGATATGGCACTTAGTGTGAATTTCCTCAACAGGAGCAGTGTTTTCTGATATTTGTGAAAATAACTTGCCAGTAATTGTGTGCAGAGTAGGGCAGAAGTGACAGAATATTCATTGAATTTTTATTAACATGTTACTTGCCATATGGGATGCCAGAGGGTTGTATGCTCTTGCATTCACTGAGCTGTAAATAGGTTGTGACAGTTAACTGCTTTCTTTACTTTGCAAACATATACTGTCAGGGATCAGAAAACTCTCTGGATTAGTACTCATTGATTTATCTGCTACTGATAGAGAGTAAGCTCATGAAAACCATCCACAAGAGATAACCAGCTCAAAGAATGAAATTAAAAGGAAGAGGACTTTCACTTGCTCTTGATGACTAGAAAAGGTAGTACTTGAGTACTCATTCCACTCCACTACCAACAGGACTTGTGTCCATTCTCAATATCTAACTTATTTTCGGTTTGATGGTATTGCTTCAGCCTAACAAATTTGATTTAAATTTTAGAATCAGTAGGGAACATACTCAGTGGCAGCTTCCAGAATTCAGTCTGCCACCAGTTGGTTTTACTGATGTAATTCAGGGGTCACATATACTGCAAATGGCACAGGACTTACATGACTCCAGCTGAAGGGCCAAAACTGGAACTTTTGACCTATAGTATATGATTGACTATGTAGACCCAGATGAATTGTGAGTGAGAATGTAATTCACATCAGAGCGTTCCCCTCTCTCAGATTTAAAGCCGATGTGACCCTAAGATAGTGTGGTATGATATGTGGGAAATGACATGTGGGAACAAAAGTTATTTCTTTTCATTCCTTGAGACTATTTTTTTTAGTGGCTGAATTATATTTGGCTTCAATGAGACCACCCAAGTCATTTGACATTCACCGTGATTCTATATATCCTCTCATTCAATATTTTCGTATTCTGGCTGTAGTTCATTTGACATTAAGCACAATTGATATAGAATGTCATCTGCATTTTTACCTTCACCATTTCTGGTTTTTTATATTTCCATGTTCGACATTCCAATGTACACTCCTCTCAATATACCACCCTTGCTTATCGCCAACTCTTTTCTGAGAACAAATCTTCCCCATAAGCTTACCATAGGTGATTCCTTATAATAGCACCACCCTTGCAAGCCACCATCGGCCAACACCATTTGTATACACAGTATTGGCCAAAATGATATCACCACTTCAGTTTGAATGTAAAATTTTAGCTTTTTTCAATCAAGCTATTTTTATCAAGAATACCATTATTTCCAACAAATTATTCTATAATATACTTGTTTGCAGTTCAGTAAGAACATAAACTCAGTTAATCAAATGTTAATAATGTCAAACACATCTCAATAATGTGAATGGAGACCTTTGAGTTTCAAAACTTCTTGAATTCGCTGCAGCATAGATTCTATCAATCTTGAGCAAAATAATGGAGTTATTTCTTGAGTCCAGACTTCTTTATGTTGAAGGTACTGAGCAGGTGTTGGATTGTGCAGTGCAACCTTTCACAGCGCCCAGCATGTCTGTTTAGTCTATTTGTCTTTCAGAGATTTTGGTATTGTAGTCACTAGTATACTGAGGTTTTTTTGTTATGGCACCACTCTAGTTATATTGCCAAGGTTGGTGACAACCAACAGTGGTGTTATGTTGAGGGTTGGTTGTATTTCATATTTGGATGGTCAAACAAATTAACCATCATCATCATCATTACATGGTTGTCAATGTTTTAAATAGTCCTAATTCCTCTTGACTATGCCAGGCTTCACTTTCATGAGATTCATGAAGTATTAGTGCTAACTTTGGTGAAAGAGTTTGATTATTTTATTATTTTGTGTTGACATATTCTTACTTGGCGTCTTCTCTTCTTGCACTGTAGAGTTCCCAATGGAGATCCAAAGGGAGGCAAGTTAGTGCATGAGACCAAGGTGGATCAACCTACAGAGCAGATGGGAGAAATCAGAGAATTGGCAGATGTGATGCAAAATTTCCAGCCATGTCAGTTTTGGCTAGATTGTTTGACCATGGTTCCCTCAATGCTTGTGATTGCATAAAAATTAATGCTGATATCAGAGTTTTTGTTGCTTGTAGTTGAAGGAAGATGTGAATGATATTTTGTTTTTAGATGTCAACATTCCACCAGACCTCACCAACAATACTCCTGTTGGACCCAGAATTTCAAGTGATAGGGTGAAGTATGGCCATTCTCATGCTGGTTCTGTGCGGGTAGTATCAAGCGGTGGCTTGGGTGAGTTTTGCTGTCAAGATGATGGTACGTGTTGCTGAACACCAGCATAGATGTCCTTGATTTTTTTCAATTATTACATCTCAGAACACCCTGCTTTTTTTTTTTTCCTCAACAGTTACAGGGAAGTGGAAAGTGTCAACCAAGATTCAGCAGTTGCTCAACACGCTAAAGAGACCCAAGAGGCGTCCTTTGCCAGAATTTTATATTGATGATGAGACTGATCTGGAAATTGCAGCAAATCCAAAGGATCCCAATGCGCCCAAACCTGAGGGTCACACCATGACCCCTGCTGCTGGTGATCAGCTTGTGGTTAGTGAAGGCCTTATTCCCAGGAGAGGACCAATGCATAGGCTGGCATATTTTAAAGCCAAATGTCTGCATGTCTGATTTAAATTGTGGTACCATCAATCTTTAGGTTCCCTCTGGATTACCACGGAACTTGGAAGCTGCTCTCCAGAGATATGGCTCAGCTTCTTATAAAGCTCCAGCTGCTACTGTACTGGATGCTGGGAACAAGTTGAGCACTTCTCTCACTTATGGTATATACTGTCCTAACCCCAGGCGCTTTCACCAGCAGTGCATCCTTTCCCTCACACTGTAGTGCTGTTACTTTTATATTCAGGGAAGCTGTTGAGCCGTTCTCAGAAGATTTCATTTGCATTGCTGAACCGAGGAAAAGGGGAACTTGTATTGAAACCTGGAGACCGAGTGGCATTAGTGTACCCTAATACTGATCCCTTGAGTTTCATCTGTTCTTTCTATGGCTGCTTACAAGCTGGCATTGTTCCTGTCCCCATTGAAGTCCCCATAACCAGAAGGGTGAGCTGCATTTTAGCTGTGGTTCTTTGATTGCTAATTAGGAGATGAGTTCGTTTTCATTTCTGTTACATGCTCAACAAGTTTCATGGTGCTGCATCCTTGGGCAGAAGTAACTTCTTTCTACAGTCAACTCTTGATATAACACCACCCTCACTTATTGCCAATCTTTTCTTGTGTGCATGTATCCCCATAGGCTTATATAATATGGGATATTGCAAATTCAATATGCCACCACCCTCATTATAGCACCAAAATCAGTGATGGCCAACAGTGACATTATATTGAGGATTGACTATCAGCGTTAAGCTCAAATAGTGCCAAATTGATTAGAAAAAGATGGAACTCCACTTTCAAAATCTGGATTTGAATGAGAGATAGCTAGATAAAAGAAGATATCTCAAATTCACTTGCTGTTATTCTTAGGTGAAAGAGATTCCCCAATTTTGTCACTGTATGGTGGAGAGTTCAGCTAAAAATTACTGCAGGTAATGTAAAAAACCAAGAGAAAGGACTTGCATCAAATTTTCCTACTGAATGTACCTAAGGTAGCCTCAGTTACCTCACTATGCCTTTTTGTGTGTGACATGCAGCAAGAAAGTTCACTTGCCTAGCAGGGAGTGCTTCTGAAATAAACTGTGAAGGGTGCAGTTGACATTTAGTACGGAACCTCACTCCTATTGCAACAAGTTGGGATTAAGAAACCATCCTGTATACCTCTCTTATTATTGTAACAGCCTTTTTTCCATTCAAGGATGCTGGAGCACAGCAAATAGGATTCCTTTTGGGAAGCTGTGGGGTATCTGTGGCCTTGACTTCTGAGGCTTGCTTGAAGGGGCTTCCTAAGTCAAGTTCAGGTGATGTGTGCTCCTTTCGTGGTTGGCCCCCACTTAATTGGTTCCCCACTGATCATTTACCAAAGCCTCCCAAGGATTGGCTTCCTCCACCACGACTTACAGACGACACTCCTGCCTACATAGAGGTTATTTCACTTGTGTTTCCTGGCAATTTGATGGTAATGATGCAAATTCTATTTATAACTATGACAGTTACAATGGTGTCTCATCTCTTTCTTTCACATAGTATGTGACTGATAAAGATGGATCAGTAATGGGTGTGACAGTTACACGAACTGCCATGCTTCAACATTGTCGTGCACTCACTGCTGCATGCAACTACACAGAGGGAGAAGTAATGGTTGGTGTATTAGATTTCAAGAGAGAAGTCGGTCTGTGGCATGCCATAATGTGTGTAAGTATAAGCATTTATTTTGTCATTTCTGGTGCTAGTGTTCTTCACTTTATTGATTCCTTTTTGTTTTATTATGAGTGGTTGTCTTCATTACTGTGTTTGCACTGTTTGGATGTGTTTATTGCCTTTCTTTCAGAGTGTCTTCAATGGGATGCATGTAATCTTCATCCCATATGCTCTGATGAAGATCAACCCTGCTTCATGGATGCAGATGATAACTAAGTTCAAAGGTTAGCTCCCATGCACTATTCATGCAGAGTCATGGACAGAGTTCCTATCATATTTGTAGATCCGTTATGCATTTAATTGTCTTTTCCTGTGCAGCAAGTGTGGCTTTGGTAAAATCACGTGATCTTCATTGGGGTCTCCTTGCCACCAAGGATCATCGCGATGTGAATCTCTCATCTTTGCGAATGCTCTTGGTGGCAGATGGGGCCAATCCATGGTCCTTATCCTCTTGTGATCAGTTTCTGACTGCTTTTCAAAGCAAAGGCTTGAAGGTTGAATCTATCTGCCCATGTGCCAGTTCATGCGAGGCTCTTACTGTTTCCATTCGCAGGTATGTATATGATGTGAAATGGGCAATATAGGCTAAAAAGCAAGAGTGACCCCTTTTCACATTGTTTTTTGTAGGCCCAATAGAACAGGTGTGAATGCCACAGGACGAGGTGTGCTTTCAATGTCAGGTCTCAGTTATGGTGTAGTCAGGGTAGACCAGGAGAATAGCCTCACTTCTCTCACACTGCAAGACTGTGGGCAGGTGTTACCTGCTGGTATGAATGAGTTTGTAATCCTCAATGTGGACATCTATCTATGAGGACATCCTGTGTAAAAAAAACTTTTGTTTTTTATAGCTGTGGTAGTAGTAGTAAAAATGGATGGACAACCATATCTTTGCAAAACTGATGAAGTTGGAGAGATATGTGTCAACTCTGGAAACACTGGAAGCCAGTACTGGGGATTGCAGGGACTGACAAACCATGTATTCAAGGTCCAGCCACTCTGTCCTGAAATGAACAAGCCTATATCTGATGCTGCCTTTGTTCGCTCTGGTCTTCTTGGCTTCCTTGGCCCAGTGAGTTCATATTGTCCAGTTGAAATTATGCTGCAGTCATCCAAGATTGTTTCACTTGACAAAACTGCTTGTTGTGCCTTACTTCCAGGGAGGACTAGTGTTCATTTGTGGCTCAAGAGATGGCTTGATGCAAGTCACAGGCAGGAAGCACAACACAGATGACATAATTGCCACTGTTCTTGCAGTGGAACCTATGAAGTTCATCTATCGTGGTCGAATAGGTGTTTTCAGTATCAAGGTGCTACGGGATGAGAGGATCTGTGTGATTGCTGAGCAAAGACCTGATTGCAGTGAGGAAGAAGTGAGCCTTGGCAATCTTTTTTTGTACTTGATGAACAGATGATCTGTTGTTTGACAGAATTTTACTTGCTTCCTCCTCAATTTGCAGAGCTTCCAGTGGATGTCTCGAGTCCTGCAGGCAGTAGACTCCATCCACCAGGTTGGGATCTACTGTCTTGCCTTAGTCCCTCCTAATCACCTTCCCAAAACTCCACTGGGTGGAATTCACTTGTCAGAAACCAAACGTCGCTTCCTTGAGGGAACTCTCCATCCTGCTAATTTGCTCATGTGCCCCCACACCTGTGTGACCAATCTCCCCAAACCACGAGAAGTCCATCCTGGTATTATATTTGAGCTTTTTGGAAGCTCTGAGTAGTAGTCTCATTTGATGGTTTACATTTTATGAAACTGCTTATGCTATTGGCTGAAACTGCTATTTTATGCTATTGGCTTTCCTCTAATGAACTTATAGATATCGGTCCAGCATCTGTGATGGTTGGCAATATAGTTCAAGGGAATCGGTTGGCTTCTGCTCAAGGAAGGGATCTAACGCTCACTGAAGATGACTCCGACAAAGCCAAGAAGGTGAGAATGTCAATTGCTACACAAATCTTTCTTTTTGTGCAACTTTTATATTCTTCTGTCTTTCCCACTTTAATTAAGTGCCTGTTATTAAAAAAAAGTTTCTTCTTCTAGTGTCAGTTCATCTCAGAGATCCTACGATGGAGGGCCCAGACATCTCCAGATCATAACTTGTTCACATTGCTCAACTCCAAAAGCACAGTCTCCGGTGTTCTCACTTGTTCTCAACTGCACAAAAGAGCAGAGCGAATTGGTACCTTCTTGATGGAGAGAGGGAAAGTCAACACGGGTGATCATGTTGCCCTCATTTATCCTCCTGGAATTGATCTCATTTGTGCACTCTATGGGTGTCTCTATGTTGGTAAGTGAAACTTTAATCGATCTTCTTGTAAATGCTACTTCAAACTGAGTAAAGTCTTTCTGTTCAGAATTCAATGTTTCTGATTTGTTTGTTCCAGGTACTGTCCCTGTAACTATCAGACCTCCTCATCCTCAAAATCTACAGACCACTCTACCGACTGTCCGCATGATTGTAGATGTCAGCAAGTCTGTCCTCATTCTTTCCACACAGAATGTCATGAAGCTGTTGCGTTCCAAGGTGAAACATTTCCTGAGATTCTTTCTTTTCTCTGCTCCTGTCCAACTTTGATCATGTTCCTGGTGCACTTCTATGGGCATTTTGTAGGAAGCCAGTAATGTCGTTGACATCAAGTCATGGCCCCCTACCTTGGATACAGAAGATCTCCCAAAGAAGAAGCTCACAGCAATCTACAGAGCTCCAACTGCTGAGATGCTGGCCTACCTGGATTTCAGGTGAACTGTCTCCCAGATGACTTAAGAAAAAATATTCATATACTATGGCAAATGCTGAAAAAGATGTTCCATTTTCTCTCATCGGGGAAATTGAGAATCCATTCAATATTCTCTTCTTTCCCCGTTAACATAGTGGGAATTTCAGTTTCTTTCTGTTTCCTGCTTCAGAACAATGATTAAAGGGAAGTAGACCTATGTAACCCATATTCATATGTTGTTAAAATTAACCTTGAAAATGGAAAGTGGCTGGGCAAATGGAGTTAAATAAATGAGTTCCTGGGTAATTGATTAGAAGAGAGAAGTAGCATCCAGCTGATTTTGTCATCATGCAGTGGTTTTTGTCTCCTGGCCTCCTTCAGTGTTTTGTAAAAGCCATGCTATCTGGACCTTCATGCCATAATTGTTTAACCTCCTAAGACCTGGATGGCATGTATATGTCGTATGCAAGTTGACCTTTCTGTGCAAGTTGAACTTGCATAAAATATACCATGCAGCTTGAACCCATTCAATTTTCCCTATGCATGTTAACTTGTATGCATTCTTTCTTATGCAAGTTAACCCACACAATGGACTTTGGTGTAAGTTCAGGAGGGATATCTAGACCCTAATGATATACAGTTAGACAATTTTTATTGAGAATAAGACTTACATGTAGTGTGCCTGGTCTCGGGGAAACTATAAGGGAGGTGCCTTCATCCTCTTGCTTTCACTGACAGCCTTATTCTCTCACCTTGTTCAGTGCGATACAAGTGAGAGTGAACGTTCTCATTCTTTAATGGTTAAGTGCTCTAGTGGTTTTTGTCTGATAATCCTCCAAATCTGTGATAATGGGCACGAAAACCCCATTCAATGATTATCTGTTTGAGCTCCAAGAGAAGACCAAGTCTCCCAACAACACAGTGTTCCTGATAGATAGGTACGAGAGGCTCGTTGTGGAGGTCAAGGCTACAAAGATCAATGAGCATGGGAAGACCATCCTCAAGCACTAGGTCATCCTAGTCTTCGAGGGAAGAAGAGGAGCTTGTGAGAAAGGCAAACGATTGGTGGTGTATTTTGGCTGAAGGGTCTGGGGTGGGGGAGCATCAAGCCCCACCCAAACAATATCGGGAAAAAATTATTACCTCCAAGGTGCCAGATTCAGTTCCAGGGGCACCAGGAGGGCAGCTGCTCCCCCCTCCTGCCCCCCTTAAAATGCACCATTGCGAACAATCTAAATTTAAAAAAAAAAAGGTGCAAGTGCATAGCCAATAATACCCAGTGCAACTCTTGATGCTAGGGGTCATGGATGTGTTCTAACAGATGAATCAAAAGGTGTGCTTAACAGAAGGGCTTGAATGCAGACATTGACAAAGTTGTTGCAGATTCTTTAATCATAGACAGTTTGACATCATGAAGCAGTTACTTCATTTATTCATTAGGGTGATCAACTAATTCATATGGAGTTTGACATGCTGGCTCAAAAATAAAGCAAGTGCAGGTGGCTGAAGGCATACGATCGTTAGTCTGGCCGAGATGAAGTGCTTCTCTGAACTTGCACGAAAATGTGCAATCTGGGTTAACATGGCCAAGGGTTTGCCCATGCCAGTTCAACTAGCATGATAAATTACCATGCAAGTTTAACTTGCACGGTGGGGTCAACTTGCATGCGACATATAAACCTGTATTGTGCTAATGATTTGAAGTTAGTACCTCATTTCCAGTAGTGGAGCAGGGCTGCTACAGCTGGAGTCCACTTGCTCATGTCACCTGCTTGAGTGCATAATTTTAGTATTTTAGCTTCCTTTGCAATAAAATCATATTCAGACTCATTGCTATGCTGTTCTAAAAGGTTGCTTGGCCAATTGCCTCCCCTTTGGTTGAAGTGGTGATCAGAAGAAATATCACTTTGAACTAAGAAAAGAAACAAACTACTATTGGTTGGAATTAAGATACATTCTTGAACCTATGCATATTGCATATTCTTGACATAATGCTTGGAATTTTAAAATGTTGATTTCAATTAGAAATGAAATCTATTTGCATTTGACTTAAAAAAGGGTTAGGATTCACCTGAAGGTCTTCCCTCTATACTCAAGATCCTTCATGGAACAGGTAGATTTCAAATCATGTTCATGGATGCTAGGATTGGACATTGCAGCTGTTGAATTTGACTTCACCTTTTATGCAAGCAATATGTTTTTTGCATTTATGGTGAAATAATGTACTATTTGAGAATTGTTTATTTTTCTTTTGGTTTTCTTTACTGTTAACTTCACATTCCTATCAAGAAGACATAGTAATGGGAAGTGACATTTGTTTCAAGTGATTAAGTTTATCACCATAAATAATAAATTTAATTCAGGTAGGGCAAATCTGGGAATTCTGCAACACTTGTGAAACTGGAGGGTAATTCTGTAACATGTCACTTTTCCACTGTTTCATTTTCCTGTAAGAAACTCAATCAGTACCCTATCTAGTTTAATGGATAGTGCCTTATGTACTGTGACATCACTGCAATCACAGCTCTTTCATCTCACCTGGGTAAATAATGACATGTAGACAATGGAAGCAAGGTGCTCCTCCTTGCTGAATACCGTGCTCTATAGCTTGAGTCCAATTGTTTGACGTGAGTCAAACGTCATTTATAAATATATTTTAGGGCATATGACAATGTTGATTGCACCTCCATTCAATCCTTTGATAGTTTTAGGACAGAGTAAGAGGTGATTGACATGCATAACTTCTTAAGTATTAGCAGTGCCAACGTTGTGGAATTGCCTGATCAGAAAATGAACCATCGGTGAATTCCATAACTTCTTGCTGGGACCTTTCCTGTATTCTCCTGACAGCAAGGTTTTTAATTTTGCACTCTTATCGCTCAGTCTTCTGTCGTGCTTATACAGATCACATCCAACTTCCAATTCATTGTTACCTATAATAAGTTGGGATATTGCCATTTGCAAAGAAATGGGAAACCCCAAAGGTAAAACTGAAAATGCAGCAAGAGCCAGAGGACAAAGGAAAAGTCTATAACAATCAGCAAGAAGGATAGGACAAGCAATGAGTATTTGTGGAAAGATCAAGATTAATGCCACAAAGTCTGGCAGGATGGGATTGTGTGGGACTCCAAAATGTATGGAGTACCACAAACAACCATAAATGACAGAGGAGGGTTGGCAAATTAGGTTTCAACATTGGAAATTGAGAGTATGATAATTTCACTGTCTTTAAATCAAATAATATCACCAGGATAATTTATGGCATATGTTAGAGATCCTTCCCTTTTTAAACACACCTTGAGGCACCCACTTTCCATTGCTGAAAAAAAAACAACAAAAGATGCTCTTTAATTGTCATTGGGAATCTCGGAGACGACCTTTTTCACTTAGTTTGGGATGTTTTTTTTTGTACTTCATACCTGAACTCCTGGAAAACCAGAACTGAAGAAGAACTATTATCCATCATTGCCAAAGTTAAGGGCCTGATAACAAATAACTTTGCCCTTGCAGGGTGAGGGGGCATGGAAGAAGTAAGGGTTGTGGATATCCCAGAATAGCGTTGCAGCTTTAGCAGAAGGGGTGTGGAATTAGCTGAATGCTCATCAGGAAGGATGACCACGACAAATTCTAACCCTGGAAATTCTAAGAGAAATCTTTCCTTGCTTCAAGTCATCCAATTCGCCTTTTCCTCAAGTTTAATTGAAGATATAATACAACGTGGTCCTATGCACACAGATGCCATCAGCTCCAGTGAAACAAGGGAACAAATAGTTGGGATCCAAAGTCGTTTCAGAATTCACAGATTTGCCCTATCAAAAGAATTTCAAAGTGTAACAGACACAATGTTTGTGCAAGACTTTTTGTATATTTTGGGTAATGATGCATGAAGGGGACATGAAGAGATGAAAATTTCCTGGAAAACTGACCTATCCCTTCTCTCCTGAGAATCTTGCAAACATCATATGCATTGTATATGATGTTTTGATTCAGATCAGGACTGACTAAAACTGACCCCCTTTACATGATCATCACTTGCCCTCATTTGTAGTTGTCATTTATGGTTATGGACAGTGTCAAACTTATAATTAAAAAAAAAACCCTTATTGAAGTTAATTATATGCCACCCATTTGGTACTCTCCCTATTAATGTGACCTATGTCCTCCTGCCTATCCTCCCAAGACATTTAGTAAATAATGATGCCAAAGGATGGCATGGCATTGTATACCACCATGAGAGAAGGGTGTAGCCATATCTTTCTACCCTATCGAGCTTGTGCAATATGTGCTAAGTCTTCAGTGTGCACAATTTGTAGGAGACAAAAATTGAATGCAGGACTGCATCTCATTTCCAACAACTCTACCTCTTCATCTTATACTCCTTGCAGAGGGTTAAGCCACATGGCTAATGTACCTCATGATGGTGCTGGCTTAAATTTCTTTGCCACCATGTCATGAGTTTTGTAATTCTGGTCAGTTTAACTCATTTGCTGTCTTGTTCTACTTCAAGTTGCGACAGTGATGTAGAGAAATTCGAAAAGTTTTCTCAGTCTTGACAGAGCTTTACTGTCTCTGTCTTGATCATGCAGAATGATTGCAAAATCTGAGTGACTGAGGTTTTCTGTTCTTTCATGTACTGAGATTGTAAGTTTCATATTTGATAACATGCTGTTCCTTTTACTTTTGTCTTGCTTTCAGTGTGTCTACAACTGGAATGCTGGCAGGCATCAAGATGTCACACTCAGCTGTTACTTCACTCTGCAAAGCTATGAAGCTACAATGTGAATTGTATCAGTCTCGTGATGTTGCCCTTTGCCTGGATCCGTATTGTGGGTTGGGCTTTGCCCTCTGGTGTTTCAGTAGGTGAGAATGATGAAATACTTATCTCCTTAGCATTGCAAAGGAAACCATTTTTAACAGTAAATAATTTTGAAGCTCTGCAAAAGTTGTTTGGGAATGCATTGAATAGGATTACTATTTTCAGAAATCTGCATTTTTCTTTTTCTCAGTATCTATTCAGGTCATCACTCAATTCTGGTTCCACCATCAGAAGTGGAGGTGAACCCATCTTTGTGGTTAATGGCTGTTAGCCAGTTCAAAGTTCGGGACACTTTCTGCTCATATGGTGTCATGGAGCTATGCACCAAAGGCCTAGGAAATGCCATCCCACAGCTAAAACAAAAAGGTGTGAATCTGAATTGTGTCAGAACGTGTGTGGTGGTAGCCGAAGAACGTCCACGGATTGCACTGGCCAATAGCTTCTCTAGGCTCTTCTCTGGGCTTGGCCTGAGTCCTAGAGCAGTGTCTACCAGCTTTGGCTGCCGGGTAAACATTGCAATATGCTTGCAGGTGAGTTTTACATCATCTTTTAGAATTCAAAAAGAGATTCAGTGACACCAAATATATAATAATAAGCAAATATCATAATTACAGGGTGCTTCGAGTCCTGACCCAACTCTGGTTTATGTAGACGTGAGAGCTCTGCGTAATGATAGAGTAACTCTTGTTGAGAAGGGAGCTCCTCATTCCATTTGTCTAATGGAGAGTGGGAAACTGAACCCAGGCGTCAAGGTTATCATTGCAAATCCAGAGACCAAGGGGCACTGTGGTGATTCCCACCTTGGAGAGGTATATTTATCATCTCTTTCTTCATAAATTGCTATTTACAAATGTTCTCCTGCCCATCCTTGTTTTCTTATGAAATACTATAGATTTGGATCCAGTCTCCCTTCAATGCCAGTGGATATTTCACCATTTTTGGGGAAGAAAGTAACTACAGTGATCACTTCAATGCTCATCTAGTCACAGGAAACACAAGTGAAGTGTATGCTCGCACTGGCTACTTGGGCTTTCTCAGGCGCACAGAGAGCATTCAGGCTGATGGAGGTGAGATTGCATTCTGGAATCCATTATTTGTTGCAGAGCACCTGTATAACTGCATGTATTATGTATATTCACTAAATTTAATGCTTGCTAATTTTCATTTTTGTGTACTTTAATTTTGAACAATAATCCTTAGTAATGTGGGTGTTTTCTGTTCAATTGAAACATTCTCACATGTTGCCAAGTAGGTCTGCATGATGCAGTGTTTGTGGTGGGTGCTCTGGATGAAACAATTGTTCTGCGTGGCATGCGCTATCATCCAATTGATGTTGAGAACACCATCCTTCGATGCCACAAGAAGATAGCTGAATGGTAAGTGCTGATCTTATATTTGAGTGTTTAGGTCTGGTCTGCTACAGCATATCTAATGCATGATGTCAATGCTGCTTTTCTAGTGCTGTTTTTACATGGACCAATCTTCTGGTGGTTGTGGTTGAGCTGGATGGAAATGAGACCGAAGCATTGGACTTGGTTCCAGTAGTGACAAATGCAGTCCTGGAGGAGCATCATCTCATTGTAGGAGTTGTCGTCGTAGTGGATCCAGGAGTGATCCCTATTAATTCTCGTGGGGAGAAGCAACGCATGCATCTCCGTGATGGCTTCCTTGCTGATCAGCTCGATCCTATATATGTGGCATACAATATGTGATATGGCATTGGTCTCCCTTCCTGTCTCAGAATCCTCCCACCAGACTTTCCTATGTTTCTCCTAGTCCTCTCTTTTGTCTTCTTTGAGTCAAGTTCAGCCTTCATATGAAGGATATGCCACTCTCTGTCTGCCTGTTTATGGCAGAGATTTTGCAGAATTAGTGATTGTATCCTTGTTAGGGATCAGTTGATGTTTAGGGTGTGCTTTTTCCTACAGCCATCATTTATCAAGCTCATTTAATTTATGTAACATGTTCAGGGTAAAAGCAGAATGTGTGCACACAGCGATCATCACAATACGCTTCTGTGGACATATTTTTGTTTCCTGTGGGTTGCCCATCTTGTCCACCTGGTAGTGTCAACTTTCCACCCCTTGGGAATTATGACTTCTGTGTATGTTTCATTACAACATGTACTCATGACATACTGTGTTGACCAACGTGTGATAAAGAGCTAATCTCTATCCCTATTTAGTAGGACTCGACCTATCGTGCCATATTTTCCTTGCTCATGGCCTGAGTTTCTTTTTTTTTTTTCCTATCTCTTAAGAAAAATGTCTTGCCTCAGGAGCACCAATATGCCAATGAAGATGTCAGGGTGTTGCCACCATTGAGTTGTAGACCTGCTTTTCTTAGGTCAGTTGTACACCACAAGCACCACTAGTCTTTCATTATCAAGATCTAAGAGTATCTATAAGTTTATTCATGATCTTTGAAAAGTTGACTTAGCAATAGTTATGCATTCCTTTATTATACTTCTCTGGTAACACTTTTCTCTCTTATCTTTAGTAGACTCTTTGACATCCAATGGCCAACTTCCTAAAGTACATGACTTCTCCCCACTGGAAGATCTTGCCTTGTGCAGTTTTTACTATATTTTATAGCACAATTGTGAATTGTCTGTCATCTGTATTGTACTGGTATTCTCATAATTCCCACAGCCATTGCTTCCTGACTGCCACAGTTTTTCTTGAATTTTCTTTGTTGTGCAATTATTGCTGTTGAAATGTTCTTTATCACCATGTATGGCATGTTCTTGCAGCTGTACATACTGCCTGCTGTACTTTGAAGATGGAAGAAAGTTAACATACAGTATTTGTATTGGTTTTTTTATTATCTCCAATAGGAGAATGTGTCTATCATAAATCTGCATCTTTCTTTGTTCACACAAGGGGAAGAATTTCTGTGTGAAGTGGACAGAAGGTGGATAGTATGATTTATCCACTTTTATAGTTTTATTTATCTAGGCAACTTTTACTCGTATTTGCAAACATGTCATGTAGTGCTCATCAGAGTTTCACAGGGATCAGAAATAGACTTGGTTGTAAGCAGAAAATTCAAAATTAATTATTCACCAAGAATTTTTCTAGGAAAACTCAAGTGACCAGAGTTATGTGCTCTTGGAGCTCATTCCCTACTGCATGCAATTATTTCCAGCAAGTGAACAGTTTTTTTCTCTTTGGGACACTGCAGTGAATATCCCCTAGCGACAGGCAGAAGCAAAGAATAATTAATCATTCTTCTGGTACTAAAACCTGGGGTGGCATGGCCACCTGGCTTAACTGGCCCAGGGCAGTCTTGTACTAAAAGAAAGGATACATGCACTATTTCAGGGGATAACCTTGAGATCCAAAAAATGATAATTAGCTCTTGAAAACAATACTATGTAAAATGCAAGTTAAGGGGAAGAGTAATTTCCTCTCCCCCTTCCCTGTCCTAATCAGTGCATCTCCTTTTGCACAACATGTACTTGCAATACAAATGCCTCCATCAACATGTGGGTCCTGTGTAATGCTCTGATACTCTCTTTGCATATGCAACATTGGATCAACTTCCCATCTCATTTCTGAGCACTTCTCCAATCTTCCTCCCATTTCTACTACTCCTTTCAGGTCATTTAAAATGCTGTGTTCAGTTACCTTTTTCTGAAAGATGGTAATCTCCTAATTCAACTGAGAGATGCAACACTATCGTGGTTCATGACGGAAGTGGGTGAGGCTTAGAACCTGATGAATTTAGGAGACAGTAGGGAGTATGCAAACAACCCTGCAAGGAAGTCATATGCAAACTTTGTTCATTAATTTTTAGAACTTCCAATTAACCCTCTTGAATAAATGTCCTGGATGGTGAAACCTACTCAAAGAAGTTCAGTCTGAGGCAAATACATGGCAGTCCATGATGACTTGGAAGGTCAAAAACAATGAGTGTTGCAGTGGAGACTCCTGGAAAATCTGCAGAGAAAGTTCCTGTTGGTCACATAAGAGTAGCTGCTCGATGGAGACGATCTCCTCTTCTGAAGGATCTCAGGAATGGTTTGTGTTCACTTGGCAGCAGATTGCTTGAGCTAATGGAGGGGTGATGATGTCATGATACCCTGTGTTTTCTTCTCCTTATCAAGTTGTGTCGTTTATCCATCTTGACGATACTCTTGGGGTTGAGGACTTCCGATTCACGGGAAACAGGAGTGTAATACTGCTTCTCAAAGATGACCTCATGCAAGAAGCATTTAACAAGTCTAAACAGAAAATTATCAAGCTTCGCAATGTGAGTAAATAGAAACATTATACTGTATACTCAAATATTTAAAAGGGTTTGTTTTAGCAAAATGGAATAGTTACTGTGATCAGCTATATGACTGGATGATCAAATTGACTAAAATGATTTCGAGCTTTCTGCCCCTGTAGCACAATATTCTGATGTGAGTCTAATCTATCAGATTTTCTATTCTAACATTTAAAAATAAATAATGGTGTAAATTTTATAGACAGAAACTGTGGCATTAACATGTATGTTAGGGAAATACTGTCAAGTGTTAATCTCTTCATCAGTGCCATCCTAGTATTGCTGAGCTGACTATTGTTCTGCTCATAGCCTCAGTTGATTGGTAAGATTCATTGTACCTCACAGAACCTAAAACATAATGAAATTGAACTGCTTTGTGAGAAAGTAAAATAAAGGTTTAGGGGAGAACTGGAGATGTTGACCCACTTCTTTTGACAGATGCCTACAACTTGATCGTATCTTCCCTTCTGCAGAATGTGTCCAATGTCAGGAATCATTCATTGTTCATTCACCTCATGAAGTGAGATCACAAGTTGCAATCAATGCTCAACATGCTTGGCACCAACAGCCAAATTTTTTTCTTGCGCGTCATCTCCTGTAAGATTCTCAAAAACATATTAATGGACACGCTACATAAATGTCGCAGTTATAGGTTTGAAACACTGAAATAAACTGCGGTAGTTCAGATACCCTGCACGGGCCCCAGAATGTGCTGAATAGCACGGGCCTGAAAGGGTTAATGCCACTCACTACATATGGCTTGTTCGGCATGACTAACCTCCACTGCCCTGCTTGGCAAGGAGTTGTTGGCTGGGCATTTAAATCTTCTGTAGTCAATGGGTTGAGGTACCTCAACTAACGCGGGTGGCGCTCATGTACATTGCAATACATGTATTAATTTTTCCGTCGAGACCATGAATGACAAGCATGGATAGAATTTAAATTTCCACCAGCTGATCACATCAGTGGGCAAGCGAAAGGTAGTGGCTTCGCTTCCTAGTTGATTAGATCCCTAAACTCGATTTTAGCTTGTGATTGTTAATCATTTTGTGGAGTTGCAACATTTAGCGTGCAATATGGGTTTTTAATATGATCAATTGGTAAAAAAAATTATTCATTTGAGGCAATGTTGATCAACTTAGTGATTAAGAGTCTCAGTGCATATTTGAATGCGAAAGTGATTAAAAGATTAGCTGTGTTCTTTGTAATGCAGGCACAGCGCCATGGTATTAGGGGTATTGTGGTGATGGAAAGAAGCACGGAGACTCAAGTGCACTATGCTGAATTGCAAAAGTTGGCTGTCATCGAACTTGGACTCCCTGTTGTTCCTGTGCGATCATTGGATGAAGTTCCTCAGCTGCTCAGTCAAATGGTGATGGTTGTTATCTTGTAGAATTAGAGTTCAAGGGAATGTATTTGCATTTAAATTATGAGCCCCCATTATTGTTACTGATAATATTTTTGCAAAACGCATATGCGTTAAAGAATTCTTTGGGGGAGAGTGTAGATGCTACCTCCCTTGACAGGCTGTGGAACTCATCTTTTCATTGAAGGATCAACTTTATTTCCATATAATAAAGTTAAGATTTCCAAGTTGTTCATAGTTACACAGCAACGCTGATGTTTCTGGTCTAAATCGTGAAAATTAGGCTCGTTTCTCCCGGATCAGTGAATCATGTAACACTCTCATCGCAAAAAAGAGTGACCAAGGAGTTGAGCGATCTTGAAAATTTGGTACACAAGCGCGTCTCGGATTATCATGAAGTCGATTAGAGTTTCGAAGGTGTGGGGTGAATATTCATAAGGAAAACTTTTCAAACACTCCAATTTCAATGGGGGCAAGGGGGCCCAAACAAATCATCCAAACGGTCACCGAGCACCGAGAGGAATTTCATTAGTGAAGCGTGGCATGCAATGGCGTGCCCAAGGGGGGAAGGGGGTTTTGGGAGTCATCCCCTTGGGATACATTTTACAGATTCGATTCTAAATTTTTTACTTGGCCATATATGCAGGGTGGGTTACCAATTCTTCATATGTCAACCCCCCCATTGCGATTTTCTGGTCACGCTACTGGTGGCATGTGTAGAAAGAAATTTGCTTTTTCTACGCATCTCTTTACAGATGTGCAGAAAAATTAAGTTTCAAGGTTATAGGATGAGGCAAAGCAAAGAAAACTTTACGAACGCCCAAGGTATGAAGGAAGAGGGCGGCACCATTCATGACTCCACTTTCTTGCTAACTTCAGGAAAAACTGTTCTGAAAATGTTTCGCTCACAAGCACTTACCTCAACCTTTGTATGGCTCACATGGCCAAAATGGTTCTCGACCCCTGCCCTAGAATAATCTATCCATCTTTACAATATTGTCTTTGACAAGGGTGGAAAAAGCTCGGTAACCTGGTTACCGGGAAGGATAGCCAAGGTAGTAGAACCAATTCAAAAAGACAAGAGATGATGGGATATGAGGTGGTAAGGGTTTTGGAGGAAAGGACGATGACGATGCCGATACCGGAGGGTGAGAGGATCACGGACGAGGGACCTTTACTACGAGGGAATTAGTTTTAATTCCCATTCAGAGCTTAACCCTCACTTTCGATACCGCATCTCGCGCAAGTGGTCGTGCGCCGGGCCTACTAAGCCGCCTTTGTGTCCTGTTGGCTGGCTTGCATGAATCCTGCCGTCCAAAGGGGCAGAGAAGGAAGTCGGATTCCCAATTTCGGGAATGCCGTTTCCCTCCTGTGGGAAAGGGCAGGACAGGAGTGAAATCTTTTGAAAGCAGGACGGATCGTCATAGGGTGCCACCAGAAGAGCAGCAAAAAAAAAAAGACCAAAAAAAGAGTGACATTTGTTCCGGAGCGGCGGAAATGGGACTGAGGTAGCTCAAGAGCCGGTCAAAAAATCGAGAAAAAAGGTGGGGAGTTGGGGAGAGGGGGGACTAAATAGAAATACAGTCGAACTCGGTTATAACGTCATCGAAGGGACCAGGTAAAAACCGTCGTTATAACCGAGGTTGCCTTTATTGGCATTCCGTTTTCCTGTTTTCAAAATTGATGCTATATATTAACGTTACAACTCCAGTTTACATTGTTCATACTGCACTATCTTTAGTTTCAAGATTGACCCACTAATCGTGATGTTCGCACTTCTTTGGACCTTGAACTACTTTATACTTTAGCAAGGCTTCGTCGATGTCATCTCGACAGATCTAGGAAGTTCCTTGTTTTGTGACATGTTCTCGTAAGCACGGATGAAGCTGTCACGATTTTCCCAAATTGTGGAAACAGATGAACAGATGTCCATGTTCGCAAGCGACGTTAGCTTTACTTCGAGCTCTTTCTATTAAACTAATCAAGCACACTTTCCTTTCAATCGTGAAGGCTTGCCTCTTTTGTTTTTTCCATTGGCCATGTTGTCAACGAGAAATGCAAATGGTGACTGAAGATAAGGTGACCTTAGTTTAGAGGATTATCCCTCCCTAACATTGCTCCAGTCACGCCC